ATTAAGATCATTACTTACTATTTTTCTCTTTTGTTTCGAATATGGTTCATTTAACATCAAGCAATTAATGCATAAAAAACATTCGATAATTTTTTCAAAATATATTTAATAATTAATTCTATATATTGAGCAAATAATATATACAGCAGGTCCATTTAAAAGGATTCACCATCATATTTGGTGGTTTTCTGTTGAAAGGGAACGAGAACACCCTTTTATGTCATCCCCAAGTAACTGTCATAGAATTGGTAAAAAAAAGGCAATTACTGATGCTTACTAAGAAAACTGCCCCGAAAAAAAAGATGCCTGGATTAAACAACTCAATAGCCTGAGAGGTTAGGTGAGAATGCTATTTAATAGAGCCAAATCCACGCAAGACTCATATAGCACAACAAAGAAGTACACAAAGCTAAAAGAAACTTATGTTAAATCACTTTATTTTGTGCATCGAACAAGGCGTGGCGTCACAAAGTAGGGCGGAGCATACGAATCTTTCCAATAATTGATATTGAATAAAGAGGCGATGCTATGACGATACTAAAAGTGTCTGCACTTTGCATTAACGCTTTTACGTCATATGTCAAACTCGATCTACTGGAGCCAGTCAGTTTTGTTGAGAATAAATACTATTTTTATAAAATAGCGTGATTTAAATGATATCGTATAAAAACATTTATATCCCGTTAATCTTCAAATATAAAATTACTAACCTCAAATTAATCAAAATACGGCTCAAAGTGCGTTCACTTGTCATATCGCAAAATACTGCTAGTGTCGTCTCTACTTCAATATGTCTAATTATACCTTGATGTCTTCAATCAAACTATATTCATTCAAAAATTGTGTTGTAAACCAAGTTTCAAAAATAAAAAACTGCGTAAATCGATACAATGTCATCAGAAGAGATTTCACAGAGAATATACCATCAAGAAGGAAAAGAATACGTTGATCCTGGCATCTGCATACCTCTCCTTCGACGCAACAACGCCACCACTCAGCAAAGCGTTGGAGGATCTGACTAAATACTGCCTAAACCAGAAGTTTGAGCTGATAATATGTTTGCGACTCAACTGCTAATCACTTCAGTTGGGGCAGTAAGGATAACAACGCTAGAGTCCAGTCACTTTATTATTATATAATTAACAAAAATCTTTGTATTTTAAAAACATTTTTAAACTCTCACAGTCAAACACTAATAGAAATCACTTTATCTACAATTGGTATCTATAAATCAGTTCTAAACTGGCAAGTGTTTCATGACACTTCGATGTCAGATCACCGCTGGTTAACATTCAAAATAAACTTGATGTTACCGACCTCCACGTTTTCTCGAAACCCTTGTAAGATGGACAGGACAACCTATGCTCACCTTCTTCTCTCAACACACTTCCCTGACTCGGTGATCACAGATGTGGCCGACTGGGCAGAGGAAGAATACAACCCATCTGCCAAACACATTGTAGACGATGACAAAATTAGATGGGCAATATCTAGCTTCTCTCCATTTAAATCGCCAGGATCTGACAGTATCTTTTCTGCCCTATCTCATTGGGGTCTGGAAGAACTCGCACCGCACATGCTGAGATATATTGGCGCTCGATACTCTCCCACGGTTTCAAGCGAACATGGACTCCATCTCACCGAGATAAATCTTCCATAAGCCATATAAAGTTATAAAAGGAACAAATAGAAAAGCCGGAAGTGCCAGGTACGATTCTTATCTACACCGACGGTTCTAAAACAAAACAAGGCTCAGGATGTGCAATAAACTCCAGATCTTTCCACCTAAACATAAAATGGGCTGTGAGCAGTAGTGCAGTGTAGTTCAAACCGAGCTCACGGGGATTCTTATAGCAGCAAAAGAAATCACCAGAAATATTATCACTGGAAGAAACATCTCATCTATACAGATAGCAGACAAGCACTACTTACCCTGGGCAGACCACGAATTTACTCAGGATTAGTACTAGAATGCCATGCAGCTTTGGTCGAAGTATTCATCAACAATGTGTTCAACTTAAGATGGATCAAAGGTCGAGCCACATCAAAAGGTAATTGTCTTGCTGATTAATTTGACCGTTAACGGATTTTTCCCACACGTTACAGATACAGATGTAAATATGGAACACAAAAAGTGTCCAAATAACATTCAGTCTGCTCTACTAAAAAGTTGACTAGAATGACAATGCAGTTTACCTCCAAGGTACTGATATATCACACCTATTAAATAATTTTCAAAACTTGGACTTTATCATTCTTTTATAGTATCTATTTTTTTAGTCTATTATGTTGTTTGAAATTAAAAAAAAAATCATATAAATCAAAAATGAAAAGCGATATCAACATAAAAGTTTTAGTGAAAATCAAATTAAAAGTAGGAGGGTTAAGGGGGGTTGAAATATTTAAAAACATTGTAACTCAAAAACAAACAATATTATCAAATTGAAATTTTTTGAAAAAATCAAGCTCTCTAAGAAGATGAAGCCTATTGATTCTGAAAAAAATCTGATTGAAAATGGGGGTTAAATGGTTTTATTAAACTGGGAAGAGCATAATTTAGAATGCCAAGCATTATACATGGTGTTTCAACTCTGAAAAGTTTCCAAATCGTCGTGTACCTAGCCACCCAACTTTTGCTGCTGTTGAGAGACGTCTTCGGGAGACCGGTTCCTTTGCTCCCAACACTGTTGATAATGGAAGAGAACGTTTTGTAAGGATTCCTGAAGTTGAAGAAGACATTTTAGAACGTGTTGAAGAAGATCCAGAATTAAGCACCAGACGAATTGGAAGGGAACTAGGAGTAAGTAAAGATGTCGTTCATAAAGTGCTTAGAGAACAATTGCTGTATCCATACCATAAGAAGCCAGTACAAGAATTATTAGTCCATGATCCTCAAATTCGTTTGGGTTTTTGTCGATTTGTTAATATGCAAAGAGAAAGAGATCCAAACTTTGTCAAAAAGGTTTTCTTTACCGATGAAGCGGGCTCTACAAGAAGAGGTATAACTAATACCCATAATGAACATGTTTATGTCGTTGAAAATCCGCATGCAATAAAGGTAAACCATTTTCAGCACGAATTCAAAATTAATGTGTGGGCTGGAATAATTGGTAATTTCATTGTTGGTCCTGTCATACTTCCACGAAGATTAACTGGAGAAAATTATTTGGATTTTCTACAAAATACGTTGCCAGAATTGTTAGAAGATTTACCTCTCCAACTTCGGAGAGATATGTGGTTTATGCAAGATGGAGCTTCACCACATTTTTCTTTAAACGTTAGAAACCACTTGAATGAACAATATCCACACAAATGGATAGGCAGAGGTAATGACGCACCTGTAAACTGGCCACCACGTTCCCCAGACCTAACACCGATGGATTACTTTTTATGGGGACATCTGAAATCCACAGTTTACAGGGAACCTGTAGAAAATGAGGAACAACTCTGGCAACGTATTCAAGGTGCAATAAACAATCTTAGAGGTGATGAAGAAGTTATGGAAAGGATAAATTTTAATTTTCTTCCACGTATAAATCTTTGTATGCATGAAAATGGTGAACATTTTAAACAATTTTTGTAAAATCTCCATTTTGATTATGTTGTAAATAAATATTTTTGTGAAACCTATACACTCTAAATTATTGAAACAGAAATTTAGCGAAAACCATGAGAGTAATAGAGTCTTATCAAGAGTACCTTTTTTAAAGTAAATGAGTTGCGCAATCTAAATTTCATACTCAAACTCCTTTTCTTCCATTGGCGTAGAATTTTTAAAGGTGCAATAAATTAAAAAATCAAGTTTTACGCCTATGTATTATTATCGGACAAAATTTTAATACCATTTTTTTTGCCACATAAAACTCTACCAATATACCAAATTTCAGCAAAATCGCATATGCCGTTTTAAATTTATATGGGAAAAGCGATTTAAAAAATGTAATTTCAAGGCCCTCTGGAGCCCAAACGAAGCAACTTTGTACTAAGGTAATTTTACTTAAATCGACTTATTTTGGTCTAAGGAACATGTGGTATGTTTTTGTAAAGACCTTTTACAGTATAATAAAGTTGGTTATGAAGAGAATAAGAATTCAAGTAGTGAAATGGTGTCGCCATCTGTTCTTAGTAAGCAAAATTTTCGTTTTTACAAATTTAATTCCTTGACTTTTATCCTACGACTCACCGTTTTCGCACAAAACAATTAAATTCATGCATTTGCATCTCATTGGACCAATTACGAGAAAAAGCGATTAATGTAACTTTGAACATTAATTCATTTAAGAGGATTTAATTTGTTTGTGCGAAAACGGTGAGTCGTATGAAAAAAAGTCAAGAAATTAAATTTGTTCTAAATTAAACGGAGAGAGCAGTAATGTACTTTTTCCTTAAAAAATATTTAGTCTGAGTCCAGTATGGACGCCACTGTTGAAAATAATACAAATGTTTTTTAGGTCGAAAAATGCTCCTTAATGCACAGACGCCGTACACCAAATTTCATAAAAATATTTAGTGGTATGAAAATGACAATAAAAAATTGATTTTTTTCTTAAAACTTTAACACCCTGTATCTCAAAAGTTAAGACGTTTAACACATACATTCATTTGAAGTTTTTTTCTTAAAATGGGTCCAAGAATGACGCCTTTCAATATTAGCATGTTATTAAAAAACACCCTGTATATCTCTGACGGGTCTCAGCGATTTTGCAAAACCTATTAAGTTATTTGGATGAATCCTTTTAAAAAGCCTTTTCCAGCTAGATGATTTATTTTAAAAGATTGTAAGCTTTTATTTGATATAACAACTAAATATGAAAAAAGAAATGCATAATTTAAACAAACATTTCCAAATCTATCAATAATAAATGTATCGATAAAATAAAGAATTTCAAGTCGAAAGGAACCGTTGTTACAAAATTATATAAGAGCGTCTAATAGTTGTTAGTTTGTTTGAACACAAATATAAAATAGTAATAACATTGACCGTCCAAGGTGGTACCTACCAATGACTGCCTTTTCCAAGTCTCTATGTTCTTTCTCTGAGCCTTGGTGAAATGGTCCCATACTTTCTTGTGACACGCCGCTGAGAACAATCGCTCAATTTGACCGACTAACAGCACACGCAAAGAGTTTTATTAGACCATCATTAAATACCATCAAGTTTATAAATATTAAACTACACCCTATAATCCTTAAAATACCCCTATACCACCCTGCTCAAGTGATAAATGTGTATTCATTTTCAAATTATTTTGAAACGACAAATTAAAATATGTAGAAAAATATTGACATGAAAGAAAATAATATAAATGTATCAAATTCAGTTTTATCTTAGGGTACATCTTACAATTGTCACTTAAAATATTTGGTTATGAGGATTTTAATAATAACTTACAAAAACTATTAGATTTATTTAATTTAAATCTGAGTCAAAGTGCTAATAATAGACCACCACACCAATAAAGGTAGGGTTCGTACTTTTACGAACAGAGACAAGTACCACTGATAGAAAAAAATATATGTGCAAAAATAAACCACAACAAAAAAAAACAGAAATGTGTTTACATAATATTTAAATACCTGATATGACTGATTTTATAAGATTCAGGATCTGTTTAATGATACTATCTATTTTTTAGGACAGTGATAAAAGTACAATTTTGATTTGTCAATAAAATGTCATAACTTGAACCAAATTAGCCAGTTAAAAAGTTATAAATAAAATTATAACAAAGGAAATTCGAATATTGAAAAAAAAGGGGTGTTCCATTAAAAAAAAAAATATATGATGACATCATCACACGAAGGTATATATTCTAAACGTTTAAAGATAACTAAATGAAATTTAGTACAAATGCTTACCTTTGTACGCTTTATTTAATGGACTAAACCCCAGTTTTTGATCATCTTCATAGGTGGGTAAATTAGGGGGGGCTTAAGGTAAAATTGAACTAAGTTTTTTTTGTTGACAGTTTTTAACATTTTTGACTATAAAATTTGGAAAACCAATGTTTTCTTTATAATAAAGCTACTTTTGTTGCATCTCGCTAGGACGCACCATTTTCAAGAGAAAAACATTTGAAAATTTCATTTTAAGTTGATGTTCTTATTCGAAATTGTAAACAATAATTAGTAGGCCTGTGGAATCAGAAATTTTATTTTTTTTTAACTTTGGACAACCGGTGACTAAAGAAATTTTAGAAAATATTTACAAAAATGTGCCATCAGGACTTAACTTATAACACCCTGTACCTCGAAAACGAAACGTTTTCGGACTTTTACTCCTATTTTAGGATGTAGATTGCGCTGTTAAAATATGACCGTCTAATTTTGGGACACCCTGTATAGGTTCAACTCCTGAATGGGGAGACAATCTCATCGGGAATACTAAATGGTACGAGGGGTCAAGTAACACATCATTTTAAAGATATTTCAATGCTGTTTTCAAACAAACTGACATTTTTTTTGTTCTGTATTAAAATTAATATAAAACACCTGTGATCAAGACCAACAGTAATTAATACCTGTCTTTTTTTCCAAAATGTTGTAAAGGGCATTTTCTAAGTAAGTCTTAATTGAGGTCTAGTAAAAAATATTTACTACGCCTATATCCACACACAAGATATATTTCTTAATTATTTTAGATTATTTATTAAATAATGTAAATTACTTCTTGAATGTATAATAGTTTACTGTCAGTCGTAAATTAAATTATTAGATTCGATATTTCAGTAGCTCGATGTTATGGTATTTTTTCCCAAGAGAAATCACCTAACATGCCGTTACTCGAAAACTTAAAAAAATAAGCATATTTATTTTGCGAATATTAAAATATAATTTTTCGCCTACCACATGTGAAATTGAATCATATCAACCCTGAAAATATGGCCGAAAGTAACGTATATCGTCCCATGGGCTGGTAAACTCATAACAGCCCGATTTTTTAGTTTTTCACTAGATACCTTTGCGTACTTTGACGTTCCACATAAATATTAATTACTACAATAAATAAATTCGTACATTTTATTACTTAAGTTTCTTTTATTTATTTTTAAAATGAAAGATTTTCTTTATATTTTCCTTTTCTGTTTTTTTTTTGTAGGCGCAAAACAATTGTGTGTGACACATGCAGAAAACGCGCTAGCAGCCCTTAGCTATCAGCTGCCCTCGCTTCGCTTCGCTCATGCAGCTAATAGCCATGGGCTGCTAAAGCTCATTTTTTGCCCTTGTGACACAATATACTATTTAAATAACTAATACATAAGATATACTGCCTAAGATTAAAACTGATTACTGAAAATACTATTACATACTTTCTATATTACATTTACTGGTATAAGTCTGAAAATGAATTACACTATTATCAAACAATTGATTCCTTCACAAAAATATAATAATACAAATATAAATGTTTATTCATGGTTGATAAGTATACCCACAAATTTAAATTATTAAATAAACCAAAACCAAAGAACTATTCACTCACCTTTTTCATTCGTTTCTTGTTTGAAATATCAATCTATTTTTGTATGGTTCAAAAACTAAGATTTGCAGAACTGGTAAAATTTAATAAAAAAATGTATTACTTTTTTAATTCCAATTTAAATCAAGCTTTAGGGATGCATACAGAGTGTAACATAAAATACCCACTTAACTGAATTATTGGAAAATAGTAAAACATATATCTGATAATTTCAATTATTTTCTTTATAATTTTTATTACACTTTCTCAACATTATAATGAGGTATTTAGAGAGTTGAAATTTCAACATTTTTTGAAAACCATATATAAAATGAGGGGCGGTTTCTACATTGGTTCATTTGTGCAGTGAACACCCAGTAACATTTCACAAAAACACATTATTTTAAAATAAATAACATAGAAATATAAATTCAATATTAATAATTTTATTGTTTTCATACGTGTTAATTTCTATTTTTTGGTACGTCACTGCGCTCTGGCTAATCGCATCTCTTTGGCTCACTTTTCTGAGTGCGCCCGCGGGAGTGAGATGCTTTCCCTAAAGCCTCTAGCTAAAAAGAGATGTTAAAACGTTAAGAGATCGATAAAACGAACAATGACCTACTTAAAATCACTAGATATAGAATATAGAGATACAATGACAGTACCAGAAGTGTCTGCACTTTTGCATTATCCTTTTACAACATATGTCAAACTCGAGCTATTCAGTTTTGGTGATAATAAATGCCATTTTTTTTAAATAGCGTGATTTAAATGATATAAAAACATTTTCATTCCGTCAATCTTTAAATATAAAATGATTAACTTAAAATTAATCAAAATATGACTCAAAGTTCCTCCACTCAAGCTGTCAAATTCTGAAAATCCAACATAATATAAGAATTTGAATTATGTATTGAATTTATTAAAAAATAAGTTTTAATAAAACTGCGACTTTAATAAATTGGAAGAATGTGTGTCAATTTAACGATTGTTCCCGAAAAACTTCTTTAAGGCAAGGTAAATAAAACTTTTTAAGGTTATGTTTTTTATTTACCTATAATAAAGTTTTACGACTGTAATTTGTTTTATATTTTGTTCCAGTGTCTAAGACCATCCAAAGACTACTTCAAAATGGTCTATTTTGTACCCAATTGTAAATTAAATTGTAAAGTAAGAAGTAAGCAAAAAATTTGTAAATTTTTTTCCCACAAAACCCGTTAAAAGGAAAATTTTTATTATTCTGATAAGGTAACTACTTGACATCATTATGGAAATGTACAATAAAATTTTGATAAAGATAAAAAGACAAACGGTTTTTCACTTTAAAAGTCTGAATCGGAAAAATAAATCAACCAGTTAATTTAATATACTCGATGAGAAATTTTACCTAAGAAATGGTTTAAACATTTAAATAGTTTATATAAAGTTATGTTTGCCTATAATTATCAATCGTGTTACCCCTCTAACCTAGATCGTTTGTTGGATACAAACCAGAAATCTTTTATTTTAATGACATTTTTTAATTGCCTTGTTTATATAATTTAGTATTTTCAAAAATATTAGATGTATTGGTAATTTGAATCACTGCAGGTATTAAATAAAAATAAGGCTGTTGGTAAATTAATTTACAGTTGGTAATAAAGTATGTCTCCCAAAGAGCAATAAGTATCAAACATAAATTTTGATTAGGCACTTAACAAGTTACATCCCACATATCTACATGCTCTGGGTAATCAATCCTATAAGTACATATCAAAACATTAATATACTATCTACAACTAAACAATAATTTGAAAATACAGATGAAGCCGATTTACCTATTTAGACAAAATACTATTATTCTGTTATTTATTAAAACACATTATTTTTTAATGAACATGGACATGCAAACGTCTACCATGAGGGTAGGACAGAGCGAGAGCAAGAATACTTTGGAATGTACTGTGAAATACACTTAGAAAGGGTCATATGGAGAATTAAGTGTGATAACATTTTATGATGTGTATCTCACTAGTTTAGTTCACAGATTTCTGTAAATGTTCAATTATGTGCTGCTATTTTAAACTTTTAGTATCCTTTAATAAAAGAAGTCGAATATTATTGTTGATCTTTTTAAATTGTTTATTTTACCTTATACATTTTTTTTTCTACTCTTCATACAGTATTCTGTGAATTGTATTATAGGTTTACTTTGTCTGTCTGTCTGTCCGATGTCACGTTTTTTGTTCGCACGATAAGTCAAAAACGAGAAATGATATTAACTTGAAAATTTTAAGCTAAAATCAAACTCTATAAGGGGACAAAGCCTATTCATTTTTAACAAATCTGATTGAAAATAGGGGTTAAGATGGGTTGAAATTAAAAAAAAATCCTAAATTAAAATCGAAAAGCGATATCAACTAGAAATTTTTAGTAAAAAATGAAGCTTTATGAGAAGATAAAGCCTATTGATATTGAAAAAAAAAATGAATATATTGGGGAGTTAAGGGGGGTTTTAAAAAAATAAAAAAAAAATCTTAACTGAAAAACGAAAAATGTTATCAACTTGAAATTTTTAGCAAAAATCAAGCTCTAAAAGGAGAAGAAGCCCTTTAATTATAAAAAAACCTGATTAAATATGGGTGATTTAAGAGGGGTTGAAATTA